TGGCTGGCTGGCTGGCTGGCTAGCTGTGTGAAACAAATGGCTTCGATCTCATGTGAAATTTTTTTGGCTGCTGGGAATTGGTAGGTAATAATAATGCCGTGTTGCGGGCCAAATCTGTAAACTTCAAAGGTCTTGTTTCATTCCTATCATGGAGAAATTACTGCTTTGAGATTTAAAATAGAAAGGAAAAAATGCACATCAATGTTCAGGTGGCCTCAGAATGGAAGATCAACGAGTGCAGAGTCCTTGAACCATGACGATTGGTTGTACGCTTTCAAGTAAGTTTTGCATATCGATCGTGGATTTTAAGCAGTTTCCCGAACTTTAGAAAACAAAGTAGTAATGTACAGTATTACTTCGAAGTTGAATTCAACTTTTGGAATGATTGGTGATGCTACAGCCGATAAAATGACTGTAAAAGCTGGAGAAGTTTTCAGCAAAAACTCAAGCTTTCACTTTAGCCTGAAGAATTAATTTGAACATGCTGGTGTGCAGTGAAGCACGTCTGCGAAAATTTTGAACATTTTTTTTTTGCTTTTACATGGGTTTCTTTGCCTCAGTGTGAATGAAAATTTATTGTTATTGAACTTCCTTTTACATTTCTTTTTATTTGGTTCTGTGTATTTAGGAATTTAGGTTTTAAAAGTGAACAGAAACTTGCACGCTTGATTTCTGCATATTTAATTTACTTTGACCTCCACGCATTTATTTGGTTTCGTTCAAATATATTTTTCGGAGTCTTATTCAGCTACAACAGAACTGCCGAGAAAAGAACTAAGTGGCCACTAATTTAACACAGTTGAAAGAAGATTGATCTCAAATTAATTAGCCAATTTTTGTCCTGTTTTTGATTTACAACTTTCATCTTTCTTTCGCTGCGCTGTAATATTTCGTCGCGCGGCGAAGAAATTATTTCATTTCTTGTTTTCAAATTGGTTTATACTTGTGTCTTTCACTTTTATTTTCCGTTATTTTCTCAAATGTTGGCTGTTATATGTAATACAAGAATGGAAATTTTTCGTTTTGTCCTCTGAAGTCAATAATTAACGCGTTTCATTTCTTGATTTCTTATCAGTTTTTTTTGTTGATATTTTTTTAATATTTTGGCCCTTCATTTATTCAGCTTAAATAAGCCATCTTGATCCTGTGTGTGCTAATTTAGCATACCCGTTTATGAATAGTGTGCCAAACACCTCATTTGTCATGAATTTGTGCAAGAATTACAGTAAAGTGTTTTTTTGGTGTAGAAGTGAACACTATCAAAATATGAGTTGGTCATGAAAATCAGCAAACATAAATTGGGCTTCAAGAGTAATATTTATTCTGAAAATCTATGTAGCTCAGTGATAGATTCCATGCAAATATTAGATGTATTTGTTATGTTTTTGGAGAGGAAGAACACATGCGTGTAACACAAGATGGTGGACACAAGAGAATACTTAAATGAGCATGTGCACGTAACAATAACCACTGTATACAATGTACTACATATCACCTCCTTCCTTAAAGTCTGCACAGGCTGTACAACAAAGGTTAGTTCTCAATAACAAGGAGAACAACTACAAAAAGGAAACTAAACAGGAGTTAAGCAGTCCTAAGCAATAATGTCTCTAATAGGTCTCTGAACTCTGTTAAGAGTCATAAGCAATGTCCTTTTAAAACTCGGTGAGCATTCCACAAACAAGGTACAGTTCCTTAAATTTCCATAATCAGTCTCTTTGGAGTTGTAATGACACGAGACGAACGGCGTAGAACTGGAAGGCTCGGCTGAGGTGTCACGTTGACTTTTGGAACTGGCTGAGGTCCAGATGCATCTGTTTGCATAGCAGCTTGCTCAACCATAGGTTGAAGTTCCCTGTTTGCCTGTTGGGAGGAGTTTAAGGATTCTGTAGAGGCAGTGACTTAGGGTACGGTTCTGAGGAGGTCTGAAGACACTACTGGTATTGAAGGACAACAGGTGGAGCCTTAATGACAGTGGGCACTTGTGGTGCTGAAGTCTGGTTCTGGAGGGGGCCTTCCAGTAGGTCATCAATATGACAGCGCCACAGTCGGCCATCCTTCAGTTGGATGCAGCATGATGCTGGAGAGTGTTGTGTAATAATAGTGCCTGTGCGCCACTTTTCTTTGGAGAGGTGGTCCCTTGCGAGAACTCTGTCTTCGGGTGAGAGTGTCCTGAATTTGGTGTGTCGGTCGTAATAGGTCTTCATCTTGGTTTGGTTTTTAGTGACATGCAAACTGATGTCGGGATGGACCAAGGATAGTCGAGTGCGGAGTTCCCTCTGCAGAAATAGTTTGGCGGGTGTGGTGCCAGTTGTAGCGTGCTGAGTGCTACTATAAGAGAGAAGAAAGTTCTGGATATGCAGATGTAAAGTTCCATCTCCTTCTGATGCTTGCAGAAATTTCTTGAAGGTTTGAACGAAATGCTCTGCTTGGCCATTGGCGGCAGGATGGTATGGTGACACCAACATGCACTGTATGCCATTGAGCCTCAGGAATCCCCATATTCTTTTATTGAAAGGGGGGTCCATTGTTGCTGACAACTTTCTCTGGGAATCCATATCTTGTGAACAAGTTGGAAAGGACACTGATAGTAGCTGCTACATCAGTGCTTCTCATAGGTCCTGCCACCTCAGGCCATTTAGAGTACGCATCTACCAGGATAAGGTAGTGTTTCCCTTCAGAAGTGACAAAATCAACGTGGACTCTCTTCCAAGGGCCAGAGGGCCATGTCCATGGGCAGAGGGGTGCTGCAGGTGGTGCGTTCCGTGTCTTGGAACACTGCAGGCATGCATGGGTAATCTGCTCAAGATCGGCATCTAACTTGGGCCACCACACATGGCTCTGAGCCATGGACTTCATTCTGGCCACTCCAGGATGAGACCAGTGGAGCTCCTTCAGAATTGGTTCTATCAGGTTTGGAAGGATGATAACTCTCAATCCCCAAATAAGGCAGCCCTGTTCAATTTAGAGTTCATGACATCATATGAAGTAAGGTTTGAGATCTGGATCATGGCATTCCTGAATGTTCCAACCATTCTGTGTGAAATTCAACACCTTTGCGAGAGTCTTGTCATGAGCTGTATCTCAAGCATTTTCTGGTGTTGGGGCAGACTTTGATAGCTTCAACTTTCTCATCTGTTGGAGAGATGCCATCAACAGAGAGTTTGTAACCCATATAGGTCACAGTCCTTTGCATAAATTTGCATTTGCTCAATTTAAGCCTCAGACCTTACTCTTCAAGCCAGGTTGATACATGTGCTAAATTGCTAAGGTGCTCAGCATCATCTTTCCCAGTGAAGAGAATGTCATCCTGAATACAAGCAACTTGGTCTAACCCTTGCAAGATGACATCCATGGTGTGTTGGAAGACTGTGGATGATGATGCAATGCCAAATGGTAGACAGGTATAGCGGTAGAGGCCACGGTGGATGTTTATGGTGACAAACTTCTGACTCTCTTCATCAAGGGTAAGCTGTTGATATGCACTCTTCAAGTCCAGCTTTGTGTATTTTTGTGCGCCCCTGAGCTTGTGAAAGGCATCCTCTGGTAGTGGAATTGGGTAACTTGGAACATTCAAATGAGGGTTAACTGTGATGGCATAGTTTCCACAGGACCGAGTACTCCCATCAGACTTGGGAACATGCTCCATTGGGGTGGCCCAATCACTGAATTCAAATTATACCATCTCACTCCAGGCGATTGTATTCTTCTTC